ATAACTTTTTCTGAGACGATCGTCATGAATCCAGTGATGTGTAGCTACGGTGCGATAAAACTGTTGGAGAGTTTTGGAAATAAAAATATAATGCAGCTAAAACACGCTTTCACCGTGAGTTTGAGTCTCTCGGATCTTCTTTGCATTGGAAAAGGTCGAGACGGGATTATGCCTTCGATGTATTCACATTTGTCTGTGTTTGTGGGGCACGTTTTAACCGAGAGTGAAAGGATCCACTCTGGACATGTGCGATCGAAGTTACTCCGATCGCCGATCGCTCCGGTGAAAGAGGTAATGAGCGGAAAAACCGGGGAAATCCTCTGGAAATTTTGAAGATGCTAGTCAGGACGAATCAGTTCGATTTCTTGAGTATTAAATAATGATTTCAAAGAACAATGGGAATTGTTTCATTTTTTCTCATTATTCCCTCCCATTTTTGTGCCGGAGCCAATTGACAGTGGACAGAATTATTTATTTATTTTTTTGGGGTTTTTATGTATTCAAATTTATTTATCAAACCGATTCGTTCGGCGTGTAGACCCAAATTTCGTGACGGGTAAAACGCATAAATCGTTCGATTTCGATCAATCGAGTACGAGTTTAATTCCATAAATTTTATCCACTCCTTGCGAGAGTCACGAAATCGACAGGACGGGAAACAAATTCACGATAACCCCCGGGTGATTTTACGAGCTTCTCAGGAAAATTTCCGATGAATTTCCAAATGAATGATTTTTTTTCTGTTGTCAACGTTTTCTCCACAGACACGAAAACTCATATTATTTTTTTTTCCTCTCGCTAATCCGAGGATTTACCGGTGCAGTTTGAATTTATGTACGAAATATTGGATTTATTAATAAATATAATGGAAAATATCTCACCTTTTGACATCGTGCGATTGATATGACGGCCATGCACAGTAGAACGAGTATACGGTTCATCTTGTGTTGATATACTCCTGATGATTGATCTTGCCACATCGCTGTAATCAAATAATAAATTATTATTATATAAATAAATAGATTATATAAATAATCATTATTGCGAGGAAACAGCGATTTTCCAAGGTGATGGCTAATTTGGTATAAATTCCCGGACTAATTCAGGAGAGTCGCGGACTAAAATCGCTGTCTCGAGTATTTGTGAACAATGAACTCCTAGAAACGGGTTTAGAATAATTGATCTCGAAAATTAATCTTCGTGTTGTTCCTCATATGGTCGGGTCGGTTGCGGTACCTGATTTCGATCTGTACCAAGTACATTAGTGCTCCTGATCCCGGAAAGAAAGTACTCGGTGCGTTGAATCGCGAGGAAAGACACATGCGTGTACGACAGAACTAGGTAAATTACTCCTTTCCGTAATTTTCAAGAACGGACGCAAAAGGGGCGGTAATCATTGCGCTCGGTCAACTCTTTATTGGTCACACGGTACTTTATGACCAGGAGTTTATGTAATTTAATTGTGGGAACGAAATGATCTGCATATATCGAGAATTATTCGCATATTTCGGGCAGACGAGAAGGAGAAACTGGAACT